GAAAGTATATCTGAGAACACCGCACTTTGAAGTATGTGTGAAGACTATATACTGCAGTAACAATGAATAACGCGTGCTTTTCGTTGATCAGGGCGAAAAACAAAATTGTCTTCAATTCTTTCTTTCTATTTGATAATTCATGCTGAAATTATCCTCATTGCTAAGCATGAAAAGAAAAGTAGATCATATAAACATAATTGTCATGTTTGGGATGAATCAAATATGTCAACACGCAAAGATAATGATTTTAAAACCTTGCTGTCTATTTCAAATTTCTCTCACTTTGTGCACTTGATGAAACCATTTAACATTCAATATCTATTAACCTACTTCCTATTAAGTCTCTTGATTTCTAAATTTTAGTGGGTTATATTTGGTGGCAATTGTGTTTAGTGGTGATCGAATGTTAATCACTAACGACGATATATTTCCAATGATTGAAGTTGATGAAAATTATGGTAATAATTTATTAGGAGATTTTCATTGGTTTATGAAGGTATAGTTGAAGATATCGAAATAGAAACAGATGCTAACTTTAAACTATGATTTTTAGCTCAGTTACGATTGGGATAGTTTAAGACGTTTACGTCCAAGTTTTTCACGTTGTACAAGTGCAACAACATTTTTTTTACGAATAAAACTGGTTCAAGCAGCAATGTCATTACAAGTAAAAAATTTATATTTTCATATTAATTTGGTTGATGAATATTTGATCTTAAATCTATTCAGTAGTATATTTAATCAATATAAAAATATACATTTGATGTTTAAACTTTTTGTATCTGTTAGGTGATTCTAAATACGACCAATCTTGGACGCTTGCATCATTGCTTCTTTCGTGATAATCATGAAAATGCTGTATTTATTTTGGTTTGTGAACTACCGTGTGATGTACGGACATGGCCTCTCTATGTAAAATGGTCACCTATTATACGAGTTCAAGAACAAATGCAAGCAGAGACGAGTAATAAATTGACGTGTATGCAACAAATTGCGGAAAAACTGGGAGTAGGTATATTACTGTAAAGTTTAATGAATAGAAATTTTTATATTCAATTTTACTAGGATTTGATCGATTTTTATCATTCATCAGAAAAAAGTTTAGAACGTGGTTTATATTTGGCATATTTAAAAACGCGAAGTACTTTAGATTCAGTTCGAGTTATGGTGCACGCACAAATGCCAGGCAGTTTGCCATGTGCAAAAATAAGAGATGTGTCGAATGTGACAAAGTAATGTATCTAAAGTTCAATTATCATTATTTTAAAATAAAATGCATTGTCTGATTTTAGAGAGGAATGGATGTGGCTACATCAGAACCCACCATCAGGAACCACAAATCGGCATCGTTTAATCTCAGTATCTTCATCATCATCTGCCGACGAAGATTTAGAATTGCCAATGGTAACATTTAAACAACAAATCGGTCAGGCAGCCGAGGAATTGCGCCTAATGTTGAGTAAGTGTCATACTTCTAACGTCCAAACATGTTTTCAATGTTGAATATAATAAGACAGGGAGTGAAACAGGCAGACATTTTAGAAAAAAATTAATAAAAATCAATTTATTTCTAATTAAAAAGTAATAAACATCGATATTTGGCCTAGCGGATGGCTTATTAGCTTTCGTTATAGTGCTGCTCCTTTGATGGAAGAGTGACTGAAGAAGAAATGGCTCAAAATAGACTAACGCGGTTTGATAAATATCGTTTACCTCTTTAGCATAGTTCTAGAGTAAAAATGATATGAATATGAGTCACCTTATGAGTTTTAGGTATTCAAGAAAGAAAAGCTTCTACATGAATGAAGAATATCTCCATCAACACGGTAACTCTAGAGCATTTTTACATTTTTAACTATGAGACAGCTTGCGAAAAATCATTCCTTACTACAAGGATGGAAATTTTTCTTAAATTTATACTACTTTCAACCAAAAAAAATGTTGAACTTTAGTGGGTTTCAGAAGGGTCTTCCGTCGATGATCAGTGTGAGTTCAGTTCGCTCCTTGTCGCTTCTATGTGATCTGGCTCAAACTGTGCCACAATGTTCAACTATCTATTCTTCGGTTATACACTTAGCGAAAAGTATCGTTTCTTCTCCGTGATTCAAAGGTGGGCTTATAAAGTGCACTGCCGGACGGAAGAGTATCTTTAATGAAAACAACAATAATATCTGTAATCAGATTATTGAAATGCATCGAATGATGCGAAACTTAAAATGCTTCGGAAGAAAAATATCTAACGAGAGTTTTGCCGACGAGGCAAACACACAAAAACTGACTAAAAATTAATGTTATTTCAAAATACTTTTCTTTTCATTTCTTAACATAGTCTAAATAAAATTTAGTAATATTATAACATTATGCACTGTGAAAAGCGAGGTGCATTTTTTTTTAAAATGCACTTCAGGTGTCCCAAACGCAACCTCCATTTGATTATAAAGAAAATGTTTCCATGTAAAAGACGCGTCATACCGCGCGCATACCCTACGAAGGCGGCTGGATTCCAGTTTTATGCATCCATGGTGTCCTCGTGCGATATTGTGGATGCTTAGTCAAGGCATTTCGGATACATAAAGTAAAGCATTAATGATGCATTAAATATGCCAGGATGCCTTACAAAAGCGGGCTATGACTAAAAACATGCAAAAAAGGATTGAATGAGTCTATTTGAGATGAACAAAGAGAATAAAAAGACTGTTAGTTTCTCTTCTTGGCTATAGATAGGTTAGATAAAAAAAGAGTCAGTTGTTTGTTAGTTAAGGGACTGTTGACTTCTAGATATGTCTCAGTATATGTATGGCGACAGTGCATGGACAAACTATCATTTTTCGGTACTGTATAAGTTTGATTAATTTGTGTATTTGACATAATTAAACAAACAGCAACGCATTAAACATAAGATATATACTAAGCTGAGGAGAATAAGCTAAGAGAAAATATTCAAAGAGACGATACGAAGTGTCTACTGGAGCAGAAATAAAAAATCTAAGCAGGCTTCCTGCTACAATAAGAGATAGATGTCGCTAAAAATCAGCAGATTTTGATAACACGGAAGAAATCATCTGAGAATAATGAAACGTCCAGAAAATAGATAATCTGTCATGGAAAATTGATAAGAAATAGTTTTAGAGCCCTAAGAACCCATGGTTTCCAGAAAACCCTTTACATTTATGTTAGATTAGGAGCTTTTTACCAATATAAGTTACTTAAGTCAGGGGATCGATCGAAACAAACGAGTGTTACTGTGGGGGTTTGTAGCAAACAAATCTGATGTTCTATTGACTCAAAACTATCATTATCGTCTGTTCATGAATATGATAGTCACTATAATGACAGAAGAAACAATGCTGACACAGTACTTTTTCTCTCTATTTCGTCTGCTAGAGATGTCTTGACTAGGTACCAAGATGACTCGATGTCTAGCAAAGCGTCTCGACGCATTTCGATGTCTTAAATATGACTACATGATTTATCTGTGATTAGGTATGCACCGGTATCGGTATACCGAATACGGAAAATACCGACTTTTTTCAATTTGGACTTTTTTGGCTTTTTTGATTTGAAATAAGATAGTTTAGCGTCCTGGACACCCAGAAAGAATCAGGAACGCAAAGCAAGAGTTTTGTTTGCTTTCTATAGCTAAATTTTTTCTTTGTTTTCTATTTACACATGTTTAAAATACACAGTTGAGTGTTTTTTGTGTTTTGACCGACCATGACCCTAAACTATCTCATTTCAGATGAAAAAATCCAAAAAAGTCAGTATTTTCGGTATCGGTATTTCGGTATGAATACCGATATCGATGCATACATATCTGTGGCTTATGGGTGATTAAAGGCCTTGACCGTAGCTAGTGCATTGTGCCTTCTTGATACACTAGTGATGCCTACCAAATGCACCTAAGCTATTATTTTCAAAAAGCAGTAACTTAGAGGTGTTTTCTCGAAGACATTAAGGTGACTAATAGTGTGAAGGTGAGAAAATGCACCTGACGCACTGTGGACGCATGTTGAAGCCAGCTGAGTGGTTTATCAAGAGACTTTTTTTTGACAGTGTACTCATTTTATTCTTTACGTGACTTTACATAAGACTAAAGGATACTCAAAATTCAATTTCTCAATATTTTCACTCTTCTTAAGTACGTTTTACTCAATCGACTTTTCACCCTCTGAGCAAGATAGTTTATCTAATATTTGTGGTCGAGAATGATATAAAACCACACATTTATAGCCATTGATATACTGTGAGAACTATTTGCCCGAATCGAAATTTTATTTTTGGCTCCGCGGATTTTTGAATATTAGCGATGTTTGCTTTTGTCTCTATAACTTTAGATATGTCCGAGAAGCGTTTTATGAATAGCCGTATATACGATACGCAAGTTGTAGAAGTTCGCGATGATTTATCATTTATTATTTTATTATCGACTGCTAATGAAGTGAATACCTTATCGTCACCTTCTGAACTGAGACAAATACAAGAAAATAATTTTATATATCTACCAGTTCATATATTTGAAATGTGTAAGTATATTCGAGTAACTGAATTCACGATCCAGTTTGATCACATTATATCAGGGACAAACAGGGAGGGGGGCCAAAATCAAACAAGACTAATAAAATGTGTATGACATATCTTGTTGAATACTGAAGAATAATATATTTTAACAAGCATATAGAGGTGCCTTGAGCAACAGTAAGTTAAATATATAATTGGGATATCGGAGTTTCATTAAAAAAGCTTTCGTTAAAATTTTAATGAAATTCGTGTGCGATCAGAAGCTCTAGGTCATAGCTATTTCGTACGAGACATTTTAATGAAAGTACCGGGACTTTCATTAAAAAAAACGCTTTAATGGAAGTTTTTTTAATAAAAGTCATCCAACCCATATAATTTTGATATTTTCTTCGAAGGTAGCATAAGCCTTGATATAAATGGTAATGATGTTGGACGAAAATGTACAGAAAACGTTTGTTTAAGACAATGGATCGAGTAAGGAATGATCCGTTTTTCGTTTCTTATTCGTTGAAGAATCGATTTTCATCATTCTGGGCTATGGTTTGAATAAAAACTCATTTATTCTGTTACTCGAGTTTTCCTTATGATTCTCGAAATAACTTATCTATACGAAACTGATTTTGTCCTTTGACTCAACTAGGGAACGAAGCTGGGACTCGTTTACTAGGCTACTGCTCTATTATTGAACTTTCAAGACATAATCCATGACAGTGTACTTTTTTACTTAATTACACATCAGCAGACTTATGTATCTCAAAAGCTCAACAGTAGAGCAGTACTCTCTAAAAAAAAGATACGTTACCGAACTTTTTCTTCTGTAAAAATAAAAAGATATATAGATGGTGACAAATGTTTAAACCTTTTTGAAGGTCTCGTAGTGAGTAAGGAACCCTAAAAGGGCTTCGTACTTGAAAGAAGGTTTTGTACTGAACATGCATGGTATCGCACAAACTCTGAAAGTATTCAGTAAAAAACCTCAAGCGTTTTGTATGAAATCTTTCCAAGCGTACCAAACTCAAAATGGTTTTATACAAAACGCTTGAGGTTTTTTACTGAATACTTTCAGAGTTTGTGCGATACCATGCATGATTCCGTAGTTTAGTACAAAACCTTCTTTAAAATGCGGAGCCTTTTTAGGGTTCCTTACTCACTATGAAACCTTTTTGAAGGTTTCGTAGTAAAAAAAGTTTAAACATTTATCACCATCTATATACCTTTTTATTTTTCCAGCAGGAAAGAGTTCGGTAAGGTACCTGGTTTTTAGAGAGTATTCTCTAAAAAAAAGGTACTAGACTATAGCCTAGTAAACCCGTAATGTACATTCTAGTCGAGTGTTTTTCTCCAACATTATTACACTCAGCAATCGCATACCTGTTGTCTTATGAGTCAAGCTTTATTTCTTCAACCTTCGACCTTTTGTTTGGTATTATCGAATAATTGTTGTTGTTTTTCTAATTTCAGTACAACATTTGAGTAATAATTATCAGTTTATGTCGGACTATAGTCGTGTATCAATAAGTCTCGAGTCTGAATTACTGATTGCACAACAAGTTCAGCGTGAAGCGTTCACCATAACAGAAATAGATGAGTCAAAAACACGTCTTAGTCATTTGCTCAATTGTCAACAAGAGTTAGATGAAATTTGGCGTATATCACGATGGTTGGTAGATGTTATCAACTGTGCTAAAGATAGATCGTATGCTGGTATCTCATTAAAATCATGGTTATCATTGGAAGACACGTCGACTCCTGCCTCACCAACCACCAATGCACAAGATGAATTTCTATTCAAAATTGAACAATTGGCAACTAATGATGCTTATACTTCAGACAGTACACTAAAGGTTGTGGAATTCAAATCATCGTCATCAAATTCAGCTTTACTTTTATTACTACCAGCATCAAAAGTGAATGCAATTCCGCACAATGTTAATGATGGAATGGCAGATGCTGCTACAATAATGAAGAATAACAACATTAATCCAATTACAGGTGATAATAAACTATTTTTTGCTTGTAACACACATATATTTGAATTATTCAGATAGTGGATTGCTTGAAAATGACTGGACATCATGTGGACTGTCACCGATATCACTGATTTTCTCAACGTCATCGATCGATACCCAACATTCTCCAGATCATGTCGCTGATAACGGAAATGGTTTCAAATTATACGTACCTACAACGTATCATAATGAAGCTGAATCTCATTTGGTTCCAATGATGGTTGTTGCTTTCCAATTGCGTCCATTTAAAACCACTACCTGCAAAGATATTGTTGAATCAGTTATCAATCACGTGAAAACATGTCGTGTATTTAGACAATCAACATTACCAGACAACTATCATCAGTCAAAATTTCAGCCATCATCCGGCTGCCTCATATGGACATTCAATGGTCAACAACAAATACTGGATGAACAGCTGACCGCTGGGGAATTAATCGAATTATTAACAGCTCATGGCGGACAGATTCAGCTTAAATGGATTAAGCCACCAGTACTACCACTTACATTACTACAATAATTTCCATCGATTTAAATCAAAAGGAATTTTGATTATTATCATCAAAAACGACATCGAAACTGCATGCAGTACTTGAAGATTCTCCAGTTTTAGTTTAAATGTGAAATGAAGCGAATTTTGGTTGTTTTTCTGTTGTATGCATTTTATTATTTTCTTCGATCCTTTGCCATCCATTTGATGTATATAGTTTCATGTTTTTAGACGTTTGTTTAAAAAGCGTTCAAATATCAAATGTTGTTTCTCTGTTGTTTTGATGTATATTTAATATACTTAGTTCTTCAATTTTAATCTGGTTTTTTTCTCGATGTTTCTCAAAGTTATTGTGATTCTAAGAGGAAAAAACATATGTTTGCCAACCGCATTCAAAAAATCTTGTTCGAGTAACAAGTACATACTGAGAAGAAACTAGCGAGGGTGAAAACAACATACTGGTACATTTTTATCATATTGTAGAAAATTTCTTGCTGACTTTTTCGGTATACCTTTTTTTGTTGAATAAGTGATTTTTGGTTAGATTTTGTGCAAAAAATCGATTTTTTGAAGGTGCAGTTAAGAAGTTTGCAGCTGATTCAGATACATGCTTAAATTTGTTTGCTACTAATAATGTTTCATTAATAAAAACGTATTCTGTTCTACGTCCGTTAATTCTTTCCTGTGATCATTCAGTTTTAAGTATTGTTCTTCCAGTGAAATCTCTTCAACAAACTTCATACAAAAGGAAAATCTTCAATTATACGTGTACTGATCGGAATTATTACCGATATTTAGTTTTTCAAAATCTTAATTCTTCTTCATTTCACTCTTCTAACTCGAAAAATGATAAAATCGAGTTACTCTCTACTGCTATGACTAAGAGGCAGTGCACGATAGAGACGAACGAAGTTGCTCAATGTACTGTCACAGATTTTTCTCAAATTATCAGAGCAGATAGAGAAATGTGTCCTGAACATTTTTGTCTCTTGACATTTTTTTCCAAAATGCTTTCCCTTGCCGCTAGAGTGCTTGCAAAAAACGTCGTAAAATACGGAAAAAAAGCGATTTTCCAGTCGAAAATTTTACTTATGCTATAACG